TTTTTTTTCTTTTGCTGTTTATAAGTCAGTCTGTCTTCTTGACATGTTAGCTGGATAATTATTGTTTTACTGAGAAGCTCCTGAAAAGGAATTCAACGATATGTTTGACTGATTTATTTGACAGTTTCAACCTGTAATGTTTAATTTCTTCATTCAGACTTTTATGTATATCATTTGTCTGTATTTCAGGTCAGTGTTGCTTCTTTACATGCCGCCTGTATGAGTACCACTTTATTGAAGAAAACAAGAGCTGGTATGAAGCACAGAGATACTGCAGAGAGAAATATACAGACCTGGCCAAAGTGTTTGACATGACAGACATGAGCAGACTCCGTAACTCCGCACAGAATCAAGGAGAAGCCTGGATTGGACTGAACAACACAGGTGGAAACAGGATGTGGCATTGGTCTCTGCCAGGAGTGAAATACATTCATAATGACAGCAGCTGGAATCTGAATGGAAGAACTGGTAATGAGCCACCTGGAAACTGTGGGAGGAAAAGATACGATAATGGAGATAAAAAGCTGGCAGATGTTTCATGTGATTTTACAACATGGTTCATCTGCTACGATGGTGAGGAGATAATTTTAAATTATATTATAATATTGTGATTTGAAAACATAAAGAAATCACATAACCGTCATTTCAGAAAAAAGTTTCAGGAGACAAATAATTGAAGGATGTTACCGTGTTTTTTCTGTTGGTTTCACAGGAATGAAGAAAGACAAGAAAACATTGCATTTAATTGAAACATTTATGAACTGGACACAGGCTCAGAGCTACTGCAGATACAATCACACTGACTTGGCCAGTGGACCCGATCAGGTAGATGGAGAAGAAATGAAGACCCTGTTCAATGGCCGTCCCATGAGTGTGTGGATGGGTCTGTTCAGAGACAGCTGGAGGTGGTCCGATGGGAGTGATTTCTCTTTCAGATACTGGGATATGCAGTTATTCAATGATGAACAAAACACCAAGACATGTGCTATGACTCTGTTAAACAGATCAGGAAAATGGAGCTCTGATGAATGTGACAAAAAAAAACACTTCTTCTGTTATGATGGTGAGTTTGTACAAACGTTTTCTCTGTTTTCCAAAATTAAATACCGCTGTCATTACTGAGAAGATTCATTATGATGTGTTTGTGTAGTCATTATTGTCTGTTGTACATTTTGTTTTTATAGCAGATAAATTGATCCTGATCAAAGAAAACAAGACATGGAAGGATGCCTTGAATTACTGTGAAAACAACTACAAGGGGCTGGTTTCTATCACCAACCCTGAGGTGCAGGGATGGGTCCAGGAAAAAGCCAAGGGTGCTGACAGTCCCTATGTTTGGATCGGACTGAGCTACAAATGCACTCTGGGATTATGGTTGTGGGTCAGTGACTACGTAGTCTGCTATGACAAGTGGGCCACAGAGGGGAAGACTGAAGGGTGTGACATGTCTGTAGGCGTGGACAGAGGAGGACAGCATGAGTGGTTCAGTCGCAGGAATAATGAGACGTATAATTTTATTTGTTCTAAATGGTAAGATTTAAACTTAAACTCATGACTGATGACTCATGACTCAAACTGATTACCTATAAACCTAAAAAATATCAAATTAAATAGTCACATAGTAGGAATCACTTAATAAAATCACCTGTAATTATCCTGGTTTAACTAATCTACATTATGCTGATGCTGATGTGTCACACTGGTCTTGAGATGAATGACAGAAAATAGAAAAGGTTCTCTGGTGAGCATGTGGTGCAATCTCAGCTTTTGAATCAGTTCTTTTGAAATGTTTTTCTAAGTTAGTGATGCTTATATATAACAAAGTTATTAGACAAGCAGACAAGAAATAGCCACAAATGTAAAGACTCTTGACAAATGTCAGGCTCAGTCACTATGGTTACAAGTCACTCTGAAACCCTAATGATCAATAAAATATCTTTATTGATTTATATTAATATGTCCACATAAAATAAAGAATGTACTTCAATTCCATAACCTGGTAAAGGAAATATATTGTGTATGTATATAGTGTTTTTACTGATGTAAACACAACAATACTGATACTGACATTTTTTAATTTAAAAACTCATAAATTTCGCATATATATATGTATATATATATATATATATACAATCTGCCATCAAGGTAATGATAGAGTTTAATGTATAATGTTATGTTCCATGTTTACTGTGGATCAATGCAACCTAGTGGACATTTAAAGACACAGAATAGTTTGTTGCAGGTGAATGAAATGCAGACAAAAACACTACAATAATAAAATTAATGTAAAAGCAGAGTGATGGTTGAAATACTCTGAAATGTAAATACTGCTAAATTAAAAGGAAAATATAAATTAACAAAAGAGGAAGTGATGTGGATGTGAAGACCTAGGTAGAAAGGTCTGTCATGGTCCCTGAGTCTTTGACTGTTTTTAGATTTTCTCTACGTTTGTGTTTTTGCTGAACTTTGGATTATGGTTGTGTTTTCTGGGTTGTTGATATTTAGCTTCCTGTTATTTCCTTTTTATTTTCTTTATAAATGATACAAATGTCTTTGAGATTATTTGATGTCTTTAATTCTGAGCTTCTGTTCCAAAGATCTTCAGATTCTTTCTGTGTTTTGTGGGTTTATGACGTCCTCGTGGTTTTAGGTTTGTTGATCTCCTTTTGTGCTCCATTCTGTTCCTTCAGTCTCATGTTTGTCTTCTGTCTCTGTCAACTTCATATCTTTGTGTCTTGGTCTCAGTGTTTTATTTCCTGTTTTATTTTGATGTTCTGTTGTCACTCGTGTTTTGTGTTTAGTTCTACTTCCCCTGTCTCATCCTCAGTGATTAGTTTCAGCTGTCCTGACCTGTTTCCTCTCCCCTCATTATCTGCTGTGTATTATTATCTCAGCCTCTCCTTGTCCTTTGTTTCGTGCTCTCGCATAACTGTGTTTCTCCTCCTTTGTGGTTGTTTTGGAAGAGTTATTGTTTTGAATTGTCTGTGCCTGATCTGTGGTGGTTTTGTATCTTGTAGAAGTTCATCATTAAAGATGCTTAAGTTTATGTCAGTTTCCCGAGTCCTGCATTTGGTTCCACATCCTGTCTGCCACACAGTTTTTGATAAAGTCACAGAATCCAGAGTACTGCTGATTGATCTACATCTGCATTTGCATTATATGTTAGCCTGTAGTTGGCAATAAATAGTGCCTTTGATGACTATTTACCCCTTATGGCATGGCTATTCAACTAAAAGGTTAGTTGGGACAGATTTTCAAACCGAGGAATTTATCTGGGCCAGATATTTTTTTT